GATAAATTAATTAACCGGCCCAGCAAGCAACAAGGAAGCGGAAGGGAAATAAAAACAAAAGAGCTCTCCTTTTCTGGCTAGCTCATCGGAGAATCCATCCAATCTCCCCACCTTAGATCGGTGGGTGCTTACCCTCTCTAAAATATGCAGTAAGTATGGCTGTCGTCATGCTCGTGATGTCTTAATATTATTTATTTGCTGCCTTGGGAAAATTATTAAATTTGGTACGTATGAAATCACCATGTTTACGTGCCATGCCAATCAAATATTTAAAGGGTTCTGAGATTTAAGGTCATCCGAAATATTTTAAGAATATAAAGATAAAAAAATGAAAAATATTAATTTAAACTATTTTATTTAAAAAATTAAGAATTTTAAATCAATTATGATATTGATGGTTACAAAACCAGATTTAAATGAGTGGCCCATGATTTATTTATTCGAAATCTAACTTGGGTTGAATTTTATTTTGAAAAAATGTTTTTTATCAAATAAGTATCATTTTAGATTATTTTTTTAATAAATAACCCTATTATTTTATCATTTGGTAATTACTTTTAAATTATAATTTAGATTCACCCATCACCCTCCGAATCGAACATCCTAATTTGTATCATCTTCGATTGGAAGACCAATTTTAAAAAACAACCCTGTCCAAGATCTATATGGGCCAGCTATGAAAGTCCATGAGTGACAAATAATCTCAACAATGAACACATATGCATATGCTTTATTCAACTTCTATGAGCTTTATGGGCTAGCCTGGAACCCAATGATAACATTGAGCTAGTTCACAAAATTGAGCAATCTATCCTGCTTTGGACGACACTTGATTGCCTTTTGAATGGATGTCGTTCGCTGATGATTGATGGTCATCCCATCTAGCTTTTACGGCATCATTTTCAGTCTTTGGTTTATTAGCTCGTGGCATGGGGCCCTTGCATGTCCCTCTCCCTTGACCTTAAGCACCGTCCACAGCCCCTTCCCCACGGAAAACAAAACATAGAGAAGCAAAAGGATATTCTATCAATATCTTATTTTTTACTTCACAATAAATTTATACTCAGACCCGTTGACTCTGTAGTTAGTGTTGGTATATTGCATCATGTTTCTTCGAGAGTTAGATTATTTTTTTAAAAATATAAAAAAATTAAAGGCAATTAGATTTTTTAAACTATATTATTAAATATAAGTGAATTAATTTTGAAATCTTTGAAACAATTCTTTACCTAACTCGTGTTTTCAATTAAATTATGTGAAAACTAGCCTAATTTAAATCGATGAGTTTCATAAATCCAGATGCAACATTGATAATCTATAAAGATATAATTTAACTTTTTAAAAAAAAATAAAGTGATAATTTTTTAATTATTAACACAGTTACAACTTGGATCGACCTCGGTTTTCCTATAACCGAGTCATGGATTCCATTGAGTTTAGTAACTTTTTTTATAAATTTTTTTATATAACTATATGATAAAAATAGATGCTCATAAAATTGAGCACTAATATAAAAATAGATACTTATTTGAAAAAATTATCTATATAGAAAGCAAAAAAAATCTACCATGCAATGTATTTTTTAATTAATTCAATGTTAGATAATGAAATAAAAAAACATAATAAATTAAAAACATTTAAAAGAAAAAAAACATATCATATTAGTGGTTAAACTCACCAAACCTATTAATCGGGTAAGTCGGATTAATACGTCAAACCTATAAACTAAATTATCGATTCTAACGGGATTATAATTTTTGTTTCAAAATTATTTTTTTATTTAACTATATGATAACACAAATAGATGATTATGAAATCAAACACCAATCCAATGTCGAGATTTTTTTTACATCACGATAGCCTCCTAAAAGATGAAACAAAATCAATTATGAAATTGAATTCTCAATTAACTTAGTATTCAAGAATGAGATAAAAATAAACTAATTAAAAAAATTAAACTTATTAGACTCATGAACCAAGTCAATCAACCAAATATGAGAATAAAACCATGAATTTTACAAAGTTTAATAACATAATTTTTCTCTTAAACTATTTTTTTAACTGTATAGGAAAAAATAGAAAAGTCAAGTTCTATTAAAAAAAAAACACTCCACCAAACTCATAAACCATGGTAAATTGGGTTACCCTGCAAACTCGCAAATCAAGTTAACTTTATAGAAAGGTAAAATAAAATAAAAAAAGTTATGAAGTCAAATTCCCAACCATCCTGATATTAAAAAATAAAATCAACAAAAACAAATTGAAAAAAAATACATAACTAAAATTTAAAAAGAAAAAAGAAAGAAAGAAAAATAATATGGATTAATATTATCATTTAAAGTGCAATGTGAGCGGGTGCACAATAGTTTCCTCATATCCTTTGATTTTTTTTATTTTATAAAGTTTAATAACTTAACTTTTCTCCACCACTGTTTTTTTTAAGCACAAAAGAAAAAAAATTCAAGTTTAATTTTTTTTAAAAAGACAAACAATCATACTCATAAACTATGGCAACTTAGATTACCTTGATAAATCTATAAACCACACTAACCTCATATAAAAGCAAAATAAAATGAAGCAAAATACAAAGTTAAATTCTCAACAATCTCAATTTTAAAAGATAAAATCGTTCTTAGAAAAATAATAAAAAATATAAAAAACAAAGAAAAGGAAAAAATAAAGCAAAATACTATAAATTACTATTATAATTCACAGTGCAATCAGTGCTGGGTGAACAACAATTTCTGTGTGTTTTTTAATTGTTGTTACTCTATAAAGGTTAATAATATAATTTTTCTCTAAAACTACTTTGTAACTATACAATAAAAAAATAAACTATAAAAAAAACAAGTTTAATTAAAAAAAATGAAACTTCACCAAACCCATAAATTAGGGCAACTTGAATTACCTTAACAAACTCACAAATTATATTAACCTTGCAGGAATAAACAATCAAAACATAAAGAATGTAATTGAAAAAGAAAAGGAAAAAAGGACAAAAATATACTTTAGCCGAAAGAAAGAGAACAGTAGAAAAAACAACCACCGACGACAAACTACTAAACCATCATCGACACGCTTTACACTGGGAGGAAGGGGACATGACGACATGTCTATTGACACGATAAAAGATCATTTTTAGACGAACAACAGTGTCGCACGCCCCATTAAAAGAACACTAACGCCACAAACACACCAGCGAGTGAAAAATACTCACCAGCAGCTTTTCAAATTTTTATATTAAAAATAAATATTAAATTATAAAAAAGTACTCATAATTCTAGAAATAACAAATAAACCAATATGAAAGTACTAAAACACTCCCGTATATATATATAAATTATTTTATTTTGTCTAAAAACAAATAAATATTTTATTTATTTTGAAGTGATTAAAAAAACTCTTAATCAAGGTTTAAATTTTAATGAACTTGAATATAAAAAAGTACTATATAAATAATATAAAAAGATAATAATATTCATGTTTAATTTTTCAATAACCAATAATAAATCAATGTCAAAAGATTAAAATACCTTTATATCCCAGCCTTTCAACTCTTATACCAAGAAGTATAAAGATAATTCACTGTAACAATTTATAATAAACTATATATCTATTCTTACAATAAATTCACCAACCGTTTTAGAGTTTCGTTTATCTTGCTATGTTCAAAACGGGATGCGGTAAATATATCAGTAAAACGAGAGAGAGAGAGAGAGAGAGAGAGAACCTGATCCATCCTTGCAGGATAATACTTCGCATAGTCTATCCATAGTCGTTTTATATTAGCTATCAATACCCATTGATTCATCCGTAGTCGTCTATTTTAAGAGACCATGGGTCCCCACAAAACTTAAATGGCATTAACGGGTTGACCCAGAAATAGAGTAAGGTAAGAATATATCTAATAGCATGGCTGAAATTATTTTTAATTTTATTTTTATTTAAAAATATATGAAAACAATATTTTTATTTTTTAAAATTTATTTTAATATCAAAACATTAAAATAATTTAAAAATCTAAAAAAATAATCAAAATATACAGGATCTAAACAGGGACTAAATTTGTCGGGGGTAGGTGATGCAAGAAGTATATAGGAAATTTCTCGTGTACGTGTCGTATGAAGTAACGTTCACGATAACATTTGGCCCGGTCATTTTCCCTGTGATTCTGTGATCTCAGAGCAATGCAAGTTGTTAGTTAGTTTTTTTCTGTACTTAGGTAAGTGATGACGCCCCTGTTTAGTATCGGTCAGGAGTTAAAAATTCAGACAACTCGATTATGAAACCGTATTTATTAAAAACCAGACATGTAGCAGATTTAAGCTAACACCATTCATAATGTTATCTCTATACTCGTTGAATGTTACTAATTCTGTCTGTAGTGAAAATCGATTAATTTTATAATGCTTTAGGAGTAATTAATAGTATACTATTAATTATTTAATAGCATACTATTAATTATTTTTTAGGCTTGTTTAATGGATAAAACAGGAAAGATAAATTATACGATTTTTTTTTAAGAAGTTTTTTGTGTTTTATGTTATTTTTAAAAAAAATTAATCTAAAAAATAATTAATCAAATACTGTTAATTATTAATTAAGCGATATGAATCTTTCCAGTGAACATCACAGTCGGCTTGAAGGAAACATCTTGTATATTTTTAAGTTTAAAAATATTTTAAATGTTTTTTATTTTTTATTTTGAATTAATAATTTTTAATGTTTTAAAAATATTTTAATAGATTAATATCAAAAATAATTTTTTAAAATAAAAAATATTATTTTAATATATTTTAAAATAAACATATTTTAAAAAAACAATAATAACTATATTTTTAAATACGGTCAAAGCTGCAATCACATTAAAAGCTGGATAAGAACAAGTTATGTCTTGTCTTTAAATATCGAAGAAGCAGTTGCCGTGTCAGATACATGGAATATTATATTGATGGGAGAGAGATACAATGGAAAGCATCCTCATCTACCCAAGATTCAACTTCAAAACAGCTAAAAACTTGCTAGGAACTTTCCCAGGATTGACTTAAATCTTTGTCTTTTTATATGGAGAATAACGAGATCAGAAGCATGCTAGACAGGCTAGAACTCTTCTTGTGAGTTAAGCTCTCCATCTCTCCCCTGATGCCACCCTCATCCTTGATCAAATTCATCGACACCGCACTTTCTTGCACGAGCCGCTTCGCATTATCCTATACAGACTCTAAACAAAAATGGTTTATCAGAAAACACCTCCTTTCTTTAATCCAAGATTACCCCACTTTCACCCTCTCAGCCGATACTTTCTTTCACGATGACGGCACGACTGTGAACCTTCTATATGCCACTGGCCATCTCCATGTCGCCAATCATACTCCTTCTATACCTCTCGCAATCTGGATCCATGAAAACTATCCTTGTATGCCTCCTATGGTCTATGTTTTATCAGATTCTACGTCTCCAATTCATCAAGACCACCCCTTTGTTCACTCTTCTGGTGCGACCTCTTCTCCTTACCTGCAAACTTGGGTATTCCCCAGATGCCACCTCACTGAACTCGTGCACAACCTTGTCAAGATTTTCTCTCATGACCATCCTTTTGTTTACTCGCCGGCAGCTAGTTTTACCCATCCCTCTCTTGTCTCTAAGATGGAGGCTCTCGATCGGCTTTCAGGAATGCTTCACTATGACACAACTGTCTTGCTGGCCCAAACTGAAGAGGAAATGGAGGATTTATCTAATTTGCAATCCGAAATGGTGAAAAGAGATGATATCATCACGAGTATGATTATGGGACTTGAACATGAAAGAATGAACTTGAAACATAGAGTCATGAATTTGATGAGCCAAGCTGATGTCCTAGTGAACTGGTTACGAGTTAATGATGCAAAATCACTAGTGACAAAGTTAGAGGGTGAAATGGATGATGATGATGCATTTGAAGCTGGCGATGAAGATTCAAAATTGTTGATAGAATTCTTGGCCGCGGATAGTGCCATAGAGGATTCAATGTATGCGTTGGACAAGGCAGTCGAGTACGGAGCGGTAAGTTTTGATGCATACTTAAGGCAGGTAAGAATGTTGGCAAGAGAGCAGTTCTTTCTGAGATCTAAGCTTGTAAAATTGAGAGGTCCAGCATATTCCATCGGCCTCGAAAGAGAATGAGCTTTGTATGGTGCCTCCTTTGCGTATAATGAATAAATTCGTGATAATCATAAAGATAGATGATACCACGGCTTAAATGTAAGTTGATTTTAATTAAAATCCTCAAGCAAAAGCTTAGAAAATAACCATGACCATTTCGAACTCCAATGTCTAACATCTTCGAGGCAGACCAAGTTTTTTATTATTTTGCGGGTGTTTTTTTTTTTGTGTAATGGTTTTAAAAAAATTTATTTTTTTTTTATTTTTTTTTTATTTTAGATTATTTTAACCTACTAATATCAAAAATAAATTTTAAAAAATAAAAAATATTATTTTAAAATATAAAACACAACAGCGGCTATCCTATGACACACGCAAAGCAGCAAAGGAGAGCACTTAACTGGGATTTCATACGGTCTACGATCATCATAATCATATCTTTTTGGACGGCTTAAATTCATATGGAATGCCTCCCTCGGTGCTCTTCAGGTCCACAGGAAACTCATCGATCTCACCACTCCAAGGATTCTTTTCGTCACGATCAACAGCCCTCGTTGCTTTCATGATCAAACTGTTACACATAAACCCAGACCCAAATGAAATCTGCCACACGCGACCACCTTTCTTGATCCTGCCCTTGGCCTTGGCATATGCCAGCCCAGACCACACTGAACTAGAAGCAGCATTATCAAACCAGTACAAAGTCATTCTTGAAGCTTCCATATCAGTTTTACTTCTGGTTTTTCTCCACTTCATCGAGCACATGTTTGCCACCGACGTGAGTGATGAAGTGGTCAATGGCCTTCATGACATTAGGGACGTACGGTTTGGCCTTTGCCCCGTGCGCGGAAATGCCTAGCAATGTAATTTGCGATGAACTGGATCTTTTCTGATATGGGAAGCACTAAGTGGCCTAGTGTGGTCAAGTTGGTTTCGATGGTCTTGATTGCTTCTTGAATGAGATCTTTGGTGGTTGTGATACCTAAGAGTCCTTGCGAGTCCTCCAAGCGTGTAAAGCAGTTGTAGGACGAATCAGAAGCAGCTGTGTTGGGACGGACGGCGTGGATTAGTTGATGCTTGGTAACATGGCTATCCGATGGCTTGTTGGAGAGGAGAATGGCTGCCCCACCAACACGGAAAAAGCAGTTGATCAAAGATCATAGAACGATCCTCACCCAGGCAGCGGTTTCCGGTGATGTTCTCTGTGCTTACCACCAGAGCGTAGGAAGTTCTGTGTACCTAACCCTGTATTACATATTCCCAACAAGCGAATCACTTGAGTGGTGATCGGGCACCACGCATCACTTAAACGGTCTTTCGAAATTGTAGAAGATATTTTTTAAAGTATTTTTTATTTAAAAATATATTAAAATATTTTTTTATTTTTAATATTAAAAAAATCAAAAAAATTCAAAAAATAAAAAATAATTTAAAATTAAAAACATTAAAGTTTTATAAAAATAGATTGGAATTAATCCAAGGAAAATTACAATAAAAGAGATGTCCTTCTTTTTTTCCTTAATTGGATTGTCGTCTAATTAAAACAACACACAGGATTCGCCTCAAAAAAGTACAGCACTATTGCCCAGGATCCTCAAGGACAGATCCAGAGATTCCCAGTCAATTATGGCCTGATGAACTGAAACAAATTTATATCCTCAACTTCTCGCGGGGCCCTCTTGGATCCGTCCATGACCTACTGGTCCAGACAAAACAACTGTTAGCAACTTTATTTTGGAGTCAAAGATCAAAAACTACTGTAAATTTTTTTTCAATCAACTGAAATACAGATAAAAACAATAAAATACTGTTCATAGATAAGAAAAAGGAAGAGAAAAGAAAGAAGGAACATGGAAAATGGCAATTTTCTTTCTGTAGTTTTTTTAGGCTGATCATTCTCCCAAGTCTTTGATCTAATTTCAGGGCTACATGTTCTTTTATTTAAAAAAAAAAAACTTCTTTTGGACACAAGCCAGTGCTAACGTTAGTGCAGTGTTTTGAACAGATATCAACCAAAGCCAGCATTAGAAAGAAGGCCATCAGTAAAAGACGTATGGAGCAGAGAATTAAGAAACCTGCAGCAACTGTCTGGTACGTATATGTTAGAATCATATATATTATATTTTAGAATTTTATTTAATTATTTAAATTATTAAATTATTTTTTTTTTAATATATCATTAAAGTTTTAATGACCATAAAATCACGAGTTAATGTAAATCCATTTAAATTCTAAGCTTAGAGAATTTTTAATTAAAATATATATTAAAAAATAACATAAATTATAACTTAATTCTTGTACTGCACCCATCCCGCTAATATTATAGCTCGCCACCTTATCTCCTAGCTTATACCTGTTAACTATCATGGCAGAAAGAGATGGCACCACTCTAAAACACAGCTATCCCTGTATCCTCACCCTTCACTCCAGTCTTTGCCAATAAATCCTCAACGGCACCAAATATCACCATCTCGCTCTCTTTCCTAGCTTCTTCCAGGCAATCGTGTGGAGGGTCCCTTCTAAATGCCTCTGGCAAGTAGGTGGACGGGCCCAGCCCTGATTTCTCTGATAATTTTTCCATGAACACCATAGTTTCCTCTGGCAAGTTGGTGCACGTTTGCCTAGCTCTTTCGATTACAAGTTCTTTACTCCACATTTGTCTGGCTGGAGGCTTCTAACATGCAAAGTTTAATAAGAAAACCTTGCGAGAAGGTTCTGACTGGAAGATCCTTGAGAGCAGTAGTGCAATTAAGGTTAAGCAGAGATGTGGCGCAATGAAATCGGAGAAAAGACTAAATTGGTTGACGATGAACTTTGGAAGATCGTTTGAAGCTATATATGGCGATTCTAAACATGTTGTATTGAGAGCAGTGGAAACTGGAAATTTTTCTTAATGTGGTTTCCCAGACATGCATGCTGCCGAGGTTGGAGTCACGCCATATATAAATGGGTTCCAAAAAGCACTGTGTAAATGGGGTCACACAGGCACAATATATCTACTAGTAGCCTGTCAACTCTCAGCCACTGCGTTGTTGATTTGTGATTTTTTTCTCGAAGCTGATCGCATTCTTTCTTCTCAGAAATTACTTCCAGTTAGCTGTATGCCAACTGATTTAATTAACAGTGGATTTAGACTTTGTTCCAAGAACCACCACCACGATTAGAGATGTCTCTGGCTAGCTCGAGTGTCGGCTGAAACTATATCCTTCATATACGATATCTTAACAGTTCCATGCATTTAAGAAAATAGTTTTTCTTTCGCTATGCCAACAAGCTAACGATGTATCCTCCATGATACTGCGCTGACATTATATCAGAACCTCTTTTTCAAATATATACATTTTACAGAGACAATATAATACATTGATAAAGGAGATCCTCTTGAATTCTGTATTGAATTGTGAACCGTTTACCAAACATATTACACGTACACTCATGCCGATATAAGAAAATTTGAATTTAAAGGTTAGAATATAGGTATTAAAAGAGTTAGGATGGAAGTGAAAAGAATTTAAAACTTCAAGTATCAAAATATAAAGAATTAAAGTTTGAAAGGGGTATATATATTTTCATCCAGTTTAAAGTGTTGCCCGGATATACAGGTTAAAATGTAGATCAAATATATTAAAACTAAAGGGTGAAGACTCAATTGTACGTATGTGTTTGAAAACTCGATTAGATGTTTGATTTTAGAGTTGAATTATTCATGTTTTATTTTTGAGAAATTATAGTTTTTTAAGGATTTAATGTAACTTTCTAGAAAAATAACTAAAAATATAAATTACAGATATTTTAATATTATAAATACAATTCATTAAGTTGTTTAAACAACATTTTCTTTCAATAAATTATAGCCCATCATTTTTATTAAATCCAAACCCGTTAAGAATGAAAATAATTGTTTTAATTTCTTGGAAAATAAAACCTTCAGTTAAAAAAAAATTCGGATCACCAAATTGACTTGGTAGAGTGAAATCTTTCATGGTATAATGTACATAATTTTTCCAAACTATTGATCAAAACGCTATTAATGTATGAACAAAAAGTCTGCGCTCGTAATTCTTGAATAAATTATTCGATTTTTTATTTATCTACTATTAATCGAATCAGGATTCCATTCAATGCCTAATAGAAACGATTTTATTTATAAAATAGATTAGAAAAATATAAAAACTGATAGATTGAATAAAAGTCATAATGATGATTAAAAATTAAGGTAAAAAGTTGATGTTCTTTGTAAAAAATAAGATATAAATACATATGTAAATGTTTTAGCTCAACAGCTGTTTTTATTTTATATTTATATTTGAGGTTACTTCTACAAATGTGATTTTCTTTTCCTATAAGTGAACCATGCATATTCAACTTATCTACTGAAAATTTTAGGGAACAAAAGATAAATTAAAATAATTTATTTGAATTAGTTTAAAATTACATAAGCAATCTAAAAGATGAATTAACACTCATTTAAAAAAAAATTAAGGATGTATTAATTAAAAAAGAAATGAGAATTAATATTAAAAAAGGTTAAACCATATAATTTAAAAAATAAGAACGAGGGTACCGATTAAAGACATAAACCTCGACAAAAACAATTTGAGGCAAAAAACTAGTCACTTGATAAACTCAAAATTAAACTAGATTAAAAACAAATTAACATGTTACTTTCTTTATCTTTCTTTATCACGATTTTTCTACTCTTTTTTTTTTGCATGAGTAATTAAATAATAAAATTATCTTCATTAAATCACCTCTTTAAAAAGAAATAATCGGCACCAAGTTTAATTATTTTATTTGCTAGAATTAAGTTTTGCTTGTTCAATTAGTTTCTTCATCTTTCTTCAATGTAAATGTCATAAAAATAAAGTTTTGAAGTGAAATACAAAGATAAAAAAGAAAATAACAAGGATCAAGCATGTACAATTCCAAAATTTAGTAACCAATTTGATTTTGTTCCTTTGTTCTTTTGTAAAGACAATTTTTTTTTTTGATATTGATATCAATTTTGATATTTATTTTTTTAATTATCTTGAAAATAATTTTTAAATTATATTTTACTAAATAGATCTGAAAAATAACATTGATTTCTCAATAACACATTAAATGTGCGAGTGAATGGAAATAGAAACAAATATTAATGCATAAAATCAAGGAAACAAAATTCAGAAGGATGAAGGTAATTGTGATGGCTAATATATGAACAATGAAATTTTCAATTTGTTTGCTGGTTTTAATTGACTAATTAAATAGATCATTGTATCAAATTCAATTTTTTCAATGAAAAAATAAATATTTAGGTATAGCTAGTTTATTTTTTAATAGAAAAAAATTAAATTACATGTATTAACTTGGTTAACCTGGAGAGTTTAAAACAATCCAAGCAACATTTTAAAACATAACTCAAATATAAAGATTTTAAAGGTGAATTTTTTTTTTAAAAAAAACATATTAAGACACAAATATATTGGATTGACTCAATTAATTTTGGTTAATTTGTTAAATTCATAATCCAGATCACGAGACTATTATAACCTTGTGAAAATCAAATAAAAAATTATAAAATTTAATTCTCAATAAATCTAATATTGAATAATAAATTAAAAAAATAAATTGAATAAAACACACAAAAAATACCAAAATTAATTTGGATAAATTTTTATGACTTTATGATCTAGGTAATGAAATCAAAATAAACTTATATAAGCGAACCAAAAAAAATATAAAGTTAAATTTCAAAGCAACAGCACATGGGAGAATAATCAACTAAAAAATAATAAAAAAACCCTAAATTAACTTATTAAACTCATGATTTTGGTCATGAGATGGGAATAAAAAAGCTCATTAAAGGATAAATTGGAAAAAATATACTTAAAAAAAGTATTAAAAAAATCATTATTCAAGTAAACAGTGCCATGCAAGGAGATAAAATGAATTCCTCTCCTTAATTAGTATACACTGAAGAGTTGGTTCTCATGTTGCTGGCTAGGTCAAACTTTGCTGAATAGACAAAAGAAACATTCAGGCATAACTAATATTGTTGTAGTTGAAAAACCATGTGGAAATTGGTCTAATATAACCAAATAGACTTAATAAGTTCAAAAACAATATAGATAACCAGTAATAGTATGGTTTGATTCGTAAAAAATCAAGACAATATTTAAAAAAAAAAAAAGATTGAAATGATAATAAATTGGATCAATTTGGTCTAAACTAAATTGACTTGTCAAATTCATAATTTACATCATAAAATTATGATAGGTTTCATGCAAAACAAATTAAAATAGATTATGAAATTTAATTCTCAATCAATTTAATGCTAGAAAAAAATTAAAAAAATTAAAAACATAAATTAAATTAACATGTTAAATCTATAATTCGGTTTATAAGATTGTAATAACTTCACAGCAAGTAAAAGAATGACTTGAGTCTGCCAATAAAACATGTAATTCGAGTTGTGAAACCAAGATAACATGAAAAAAAATAAATAAAAGTAAATCATGAAACCTAATTGATAATAACTATATGTTAGATGATGAAATTAAAAAAAATACTAATTAAAAAGGATAAAAAATTCAAATTAATTGGACTAATCTAAAAAATTTGTAATTTGATTTATAAGATCGATACAACCTTATAAAAAAAATTAAAAAAAATCATGAATATTAATTCCCAGAAACTTAGTAAAAAATAATTTTTTTAAAAAATATTAATTAAAAAAAACCTTAAATTAACCCAATGATATCACTAAGCTCGGTCACTATAAAATAACAAAACAGTAACAATAACATCAACTGCAACAATAATACAATGTATTCATATTATTGCATCGTCATGCGGACCAAGTTGCTTGCCACGCAATACCATCGCATTAACAGATAAAAATATCACACATCAATTCTAGAAAAGAAGATCACTTCCATACTTTCTTACCTGCTGTCTTTTATTGGTCGAGATGAAGGATTGAACTTGAGCAGAAAAGGGACGTCCACGTTAAGACATCAACGGATAACGTCATCAAATCAAGTAGGGGCTGTTTGGAGATGCAATTATAATTGTTTTTTAAAGTTTTTTTTAATAGAAAAAGATTTAAAGTAGTATTTTTTATTTTTTAAAAATTATTTTTAATTAAGTATATAAAACGTTTTAAAATATATAAAAAAATTTAAAATTTTTATTTACACTGCATTTCCAAACTTTGTCGCACACACTCCATCCTTTCATCTCCCTTTTACCAAAGCACCCATCCCTCCTACACGGCTGCAAGAAAACCCACCAAGGTTCTCGGAGCAAATTCCTCGGACAACCTTAAACCAATAGCCAAGCTAGAGATGGTCTTGAACCAAATTACCTGTCAATATTAATCCTTGAATAAAAAATTACAGATTTAATCAACACAAAATTAAAATCCAATCCAATCGAGTTATAAAAAATACAGGGCTTTTTTAGTATCTGGTTTATTCCACTCAATTTGAGTGAAAATCTAGTTTTAATTCAAAATTAAATTTTTAATTTTGCTTAAATATTAATTGCACTGGAGATTATGCGTGGAAACTATTTCTATTTATTTTATTTTTTCCGATATTTAACAGTAAAAACTACGAGGACTTTTACCCCTTTAAAATATTACAGTATTTACCACCCAGACAAAAAAAATTG